ATCCGATCCCAACTCTCTACTCTCTACAAAAGTAGATAGTAGAGAGTTGGCCTCATTTTAAGGGTCAACAATAATATGGTTCAAATATTTGACATTCAGACTTTTTTAAGGATCAGAAATCTATATTATCCCCTCGGCTATTCTACTCGGTCAACCTTAGATGTTTTTAAGGCATAAATTACATGGAAAGTGGGATGCTATATGCTATCCATCGCCTTTCCGGACTTCTATACGAGGGAAATAATTGAATAATCATCAATGCACAAATGAAAAAATTCGGAAGCACACGGGCTCGATCACAAGTGGGGTATGATCCCACATCTTCTGTTTGCCGGACAGGTGCTCTGCCAATTGAGCTATTGTGGCCTCCTCCGCATCTCCGAATTTCAGAACTTGTGCATATCGTTTTTTAAGGGTCAGAAATTTTTAGGGTCAAAATCCAAAATCTTAGGGTCAGAAGCATTAAGGGTCACAACATATTGAGTCCGCAATCCCAACTATCCACTCTCCACAAATTGTAAAGAGTAGCGAGTGGCCCCCACCAAGCATCCGATCCCAACGATTTACTCTCTAGAAAAAGTAGATAGTAGAGAGTTGGCTTCATTTTAAGGGTCAAAAATAATATGGTTCAAATATTTGACAGTCAGACTTTTTTAAGGGTCAGAAATTTTTAGGGTCAAAATCCAAAATCTTAGGGTCAGAAGCATTAAGGGTCACAACATATTGAGTCCGCAATCCCAACTATCCACTCTCCACAAATTGTAGAGAGTGGAGAGTAGCCCCCACCAAGCATCCGATCCCAACTCTCTACTCTCTACAAAAGTAGATAGTAGAGAGTTGGCCTCATTTTAAGGGTCAAAAATAATATGGTTCAAATATTTCACAGTCAGACTTTTTTAAGGGTAAGAAATTTTTAGGGTCAAAATCCAAAATCTTAGGGTCAGAAGCATTAAGGGTCACAACATATTGAGTCCGCAATCCCAACTATCCACTCTCCACAAATTGTAGAGAGTGGAGTGTAGCCCCCACCAAGCATCCGATCCCATCTCTCTACTCTCTAGAAAAAGTAGATAGTAGCCAGTTGGCTTCATTTTAAGGGTCAAAAATAATATGGTTCAAATATTTGCACAGTCAGACTTTTTTAAGGGTCAGAAATTTTTAGGGTCAAAATCCAAAATCTTAGGGTCAGAAGCATTAAGGGTCACAACATATTGAGTCCGCAATCCCAACTATCCACTCTCCACAAATTGTAGAGAGTGGAGTAGCCCCCACCAAGCATCCCATCCCAACTGTCTACTCTCTAAAAAAAGTAGATAGTAGAGAGTTGGCCTCATTTTAAGGGTCAAAAATAATATGGTTCAAATATTTGACAGTCAGACTTTTTTAAGGGTCAGAAATTTTTAGGGTCAAAATTCAACATCTTAGGGTCAGAACCATTAAGCTTCACAACATATTCAGTCCGCAATCCCAACTATCCACTCTCCACAAATTGTAGAGAGTGGAGAGTAGCCCCCACCAAGCATCCGATCCCAACTTTCTACTCTCTAGAAAAAGTAGATAATAGACAGTTGGCCTCATTTTAAGGGTCAAAAATAATATGGTTCAAATATTTGACAGTCAGACTTTTTTAAGGGTCAGAAATTTTTAGGGTCAAAATTCAACATCTTAGGGTCAGAACCATTAAGCTTCACAACATATTCAGTCCGCAATCCCAACTATCCACTCTCCACAAATTGTAGAGAGTGGAGAGTAGCCCCCACCAAGCATCCGATCCCAACTTTCTACTCTCTAGAAAAAGTAGATAATAGACAGTTGGCCTCATTTTAAGGGTCAAAAATAATATGGTTCAAATATTTGACAGTCAGACTTTTTTAAGGGTCAGAAATTTTTAGGGTCAAAATCTAAGGGTCAGAATCAATAAGGGTCTGAAAATATAAGGGTCACAATATATGATTCATAATCTGTAGGGTTTGGAAGGTTTTAGGGCCATAACATTCAGCGTTCAGAAAAAATTTCGGGTCTGTGCGTTCAGAGAGGCATGAGGTCTAAGGTTCTAAAGATTAGAGGGTCAGATTACTCAAGGTTCTAAATCCACGAAGCCCAGAATAGTCCTCCCCTCAGCTATCTACTCTCTAAAATTACTCATAAGTAGAGAATTGGCCCTGTCAGTCCAACTCTCCACGATCTCTCAACTTTTTCTCCACTCCAGGAACAAATGAAGAGTCAACTCACTCTCTACTAGCAGTCTATAGGTTCCGTCAGGGTTGCTGAGGTTAATGGTGAGTTCAATAATAAATTTGAATTTTTTATGACGCTTAGCTGGTTTCTATCTCGTTACTCGGTGTGATTTGACGGTAAAAGGAGAACCCCATTTTTATTAATTCGTCTCACTTGGGGGTTCAATTTTTACATGAATTTCTCAACAAAAAAGTGTCCCTAAACACCCCTTCAACTCCCCGAAAAAATTTCAACTAATAACAAATATAATGAATATTCCCAAAAAAGGACTCATACCACCAAATATTCATTGTTGATGCTATCCAGTATTATGGACTGGTCAAGGACACCTCAGTCTTCCCCAGATTTCCACCTCTTTTATATTTGAAATTGGCTCTAATTTTTTGCTTCATGCCCTAGCTCCCGCCGGTACTTCTGTAATCGGACGCTTGACATCCCATCTAACGACAATTTGTGCTGATCTGATAGCCCTTAATGATCAACTGATGGCTGTCTACCAACGCCAAACCGCTACATTTCATCTGATATAGGAGTTAATTACTGCAGCCATGGAATTGCTGGAGACAATGGACCATCTCAAGAATTTGCCCCTGTACCCCGACGAAGATAATCAGTCGACATCGTTCGAGGAGTTATCAAATTAAATAACAATCATCCTTTGAGTGGACATCGTTTGAGCCATTAAAATAAAACTGAGGGCACGTCACGAACATTTCCATATAAAAATCTGTGAAATTCACCGCAAAATCTGATTTTATTGCTATTAATTTTTCTACTAGTTTTTATTTGACTCTATATGACAAATTAGGCTTCTCAACTGTGAGTTTTTTTCTCAAAGAAATGAACGATGAGACTTATATACTTCCAAAACAATTTACTCGGCTCTAATTTTTTCAAGTTTCATTGATTCCGTTGTGAATACGATTATGATAAGGATTTTTTTTACTGGTTTGTTCAGATTAAAAACAAAAACGTGCTCACAAATTTATTCAACTATAAATATCCACAATAATCCCAATTATGATTCATCAGGGATAAAATTACAAGGAGAGGAATGATCATTTTTCTCAGAAATGAATGCATTAATTATAAACATTAAAAATTTGCGTCTTCATTGGATATCAAAAATAAAAAATGTCATTCCCACGGAAAAGAACATTCACATTATTATGATTAACCAATAATTAAGTTTAATACAACGTTTAAAGACCGAAAAGATAGTTAAGACTTTGAAACATTGCTTCATTTTATTTCCGTAAAAATTTTATAATATATCGTTGATTGTAATACTGGTTATTGATAATTTCATAATAAAGTTTCCCTGTAGCACTTCAACATGTGAAATTATTTGATAATAATATGCTTTCGTAGTAGTTGTTGAAACTGTTGGGATTGAGCTTTTTATTTGTTCATCCTTTCTTAATTTCGAATGTTGATGGAATATACGTGTACAAAAATGATGAACAGAATTGAATATGTTTTTCAACTCTTGAATCTTGTCAATTTTCTTACTCAATAGTTTTTGTACATGAGTGTAATGAACTCTTACTTCATGAATACTTCCTCTCTCGTGTAAAATCACCAAATGAATGATTTTTTCATCAACTGTTTGAAAAAATGTAAAAACAAAAATATCAGTTAAAATATCAGGATCATAATAGTGCATTACGATACGAGTGAAAAAAGTGTTTCTTGACGAATGCATTCAGTGCATTCATCTATGAAAAGAAAAAAAAATGATGCCTGTTTTTTGTCTCCTTCGTATTGTATTTTAAAGAGGTGACATGAGGTATTAAGATTAAACATAATTGTTTCTATTACCTCATAATGACTTAATGGGAATTTTTTAATGGAAATCGCTGTGGAGGATGCTGCCGCTATTTCCACCATTTATTTCTTTCTCAAACCCCCTACTTGCCTTCTTCTGAAGCTCTGCCTGCACTTTGGGTAATTTGAATTGTTTCCATGGATTGGTGATAACACTAATGGCCTCCAGCCACTGCGCATGCACGTCACCTGGATCGCCTGGCATGCTGCCCAATGCTGCCCTCACGGCGAGTGCAAAGTAGGTCAGGGTCATTGATCCTTCGTACTGCACAGTTCTGCGTGTTTAATCGTTAAAGAATTTCTGTGGCAGTTAACAAAACAACAAATGAAGATAAAAATGGGTACGTTTTTAATCTTTTATAGCATTCGATAACGAGCTCCATCACTAGTGGAAGTAAATTTTATCTTATCGTTTATTTTTTTGTCAAATGATCCGAGGAACCGCGATTGTAACCTCAAAATTTTCTTAATACGACCTGTGCAATCAATTCAATTTTTTCTAAATTTTCCAGACTTTTTTTCCAACAACCAGATGATTTTCCAATCAATAAATCACTTGATACATGCTGTAGTTTTTGTATTCGGTTGTTGTAGATTATGGACAAAAATTCAATTTCTTTCAATTTCAATGCATGATTGTTGAATGTGGCCTACGGCAGTCTCCTTATTACCGACAGTGTGGCTGACTGTGTCGTCACGGCGGCGTTGCGTTTCTATGAGATATACTCGTACTATGCACCACTTGTGCCTCGACTGTTGTCGTGTTACGTTGCTGAATAAAACTTAATTACATTTACGATAATAAAATTGTGTTTAATCGTTATTTCAATCCTAAATACCCCTTCAGGTTATGGGCCCAGCACGCTTCCACTGCGCGTGATTAAAATTTATCATAAATTAAAGGATTGAAAGCAATAAATCCGAAATTTCAAAAAGGACGCTATCGGGCGGTCGGGCACGTATCCGGGTGCATCACACGTGATACAAAGGGATATCCAGAAAGAGGAAAAGTCGAGGCGAGTTGGGTGAGTGACGACTGACGGGAAGAAAAATGAAGAGTACTCAGAGAAAATGTAAGTACTGAAAAATGCATTAATTAAGTGAAGTGAATTGGTGAGAACGAAAGATGGAAGGGATCAAAATGGCGGCCGGAAATTTATTGTCCACGACGCCGACCTGAAATCGAGATTTTAGATTGAAAAGAATTAATAAAGAAATCCTATTAACTTCACAAAAAAATCATTGAAAAGCAAGAAATATCTTTTGTCATAAATAAAATCATATTTAGAGAAAAACAAAAGAAGAAAGCCAGGTGAAGCCGTGACAATAGTATCTCGGCAGTAAAGGCGAGCACGGGTTTCAACAGGCTTCAACAAGTAGATGCAACGGGTGGGTCACACGCGCAACCGGAGCGCGTCTGAGAGAGAGGGACGACTGCAGTCCCACACACATTGCACGAGCAAGGCGAGAACAATAAGAAATAGAAAGAAAAACGAAAATTAGTGTGAATATAAAAATTGGTGTGGAAAACAACGATTCTCTCTTTCTCGGCCACGTTCCGCGTGTGTGCGGGGTCCACCAGCGTAATGTCAAGCAATAAAATAAAATCAATAGACACTAGTTCAAAATTGAAATTTACAAATTGAGGATGCATCCAAATCAAAATATTTAATTGGCGAGAATATTGAATTTAGAAATATTTAATAGGCAAGAATAACAAATTAAATATTTGATGGGTCGAATCAATGAAATTAAATTTAAAAATTGCTATCTTTAGACGAAGATATTTATAAATAATAAATTACAGCTGATAAAGAACTTCTGTATGAAGTATGGAGACTCCTAATTAGACAACATCTAATCGAAGGAAACCATGAGGGAGAAGTGGTCTCCCTACCAATAATAGACGATAAAGTACATGTACTTCCAGACGAAGGAACAGGATATGTAACAGGTGAGACATCAGGTACATGTGTAAATAGGCGAGCATACTATACACATTAGAAACGCGCAATATTAAGACGTCAAATTACTTGAGAAATATTTAAATCAATATTTCGCAATCATAAAAGACTCGAGTGTGTTTGGAGGAGGTCTTATGTTTAAATTTTCTGAAGAGCACATTCATTCTGAATTCGGTTTGTTTATGTTTAGCAAGTCGAGTTTGGGATTTCGAACCTGAATATAAAAACATGTAACCAGATACAATAATCCTAAATTTTCGGTCTCTTTAAATTAGATAAGAAAGATTTCTCAGAGGATCAATGGAGATGTCTAACTGTGTTAGAATCTGCATTGTTGGCTGAACAAAAGCCAATGTATCTACCAGGTTACGGTCCGAAGAGTCAAATGTCAACAACAGCTGTGATCGAGAATGGGTCAAGTGAAATGAGTGAAGATTTGGTAAATACAGAGGCGAGGGCCGCAGGCGAGTCCAGGTCAAGCGAATTGACTGGAGGCGAGACGAAAAGCGGCGAATTAAATGGCGGCGAGATAAGTGCAGGCGAGAAAACCACAGGTAATATTTATGTTGACAAAACTGACCAAATCAAACTGAAACCCAGGATTGCAGCAGATAATAAAGTAAATATTAAATTGAAATTGGTAAATTCTAATCTAGACGATGAATCAGTTGAGCCTAATGGCCACAAGACTGTCAAAACAGTCTCTGTCGACACACAGTTGACTGAGTTGAAGAGCATGGTGGAAAAGCTATGTAGCTCAAATATAACTTCAACAAAAGCACTGTATGAAGGTCTAACAGAGAATAGAAAGCAGTTGAGACTGAATGCTGAGGCGAGAGCACAAGATAAAAAGGAAGTACAGGAGCTGTTGAGTGCCTTGGACAAAAAGCACAATGACCAAAATGGAGGAGTGATGTCAGATAAGCATACAAATCTAGAAAATCACATTAGTTCAATAGTCATTGAACAGATCAATGAAATTAATCAGGAAAAGTCAAGTCAAGTAAACAACGTAAATTCTTTGAGTCAATTAGCTGGCGAGGTAAGCAATAAGTTACAAATTGAATTGCTTAACAAGGGAATGAGTTTCAAAAGAGATTACAAAATGGACAGCAAAATGAAATATGAACATTTCCATGATTATTTCTCGTCAGAAATTAAAACCAATAAACTTTTACACATCATTGACGATAGCATTCTGGTTACTGTGGACGAGGAAACTCTTGCAAAATAGAAGCACAAAGTTAGAGAAATTCTGATCAATCATTTGGACAGAAGTTATCACCCTAAAATTGTTAAATTAACAGATCCAAAAGAAATATTGAAGAAACTGAAAGAATTGAAAATGGCTGAGTTTAATGTAACNATTAAATGGCGGCGAGATAAGTGCAGGCGAGAAAACCACAGGTAATATTTATGTTGACAAAACTGACCAAATCAAACTGAAACCCAGGATTGCAGCAGATAATAAAGTAAATATTAAATTGAAATTGGTAAATTCTAATCTAGACGATGAATCAGTTGAGCCTAATGGCCACAAGACTGTCAAAACAGTCTCTGTCGACACACAGTTGACTGAGTTGAAGAGCATGGTGGAAAAGCTATGTAGCTCAAATATAACTTCAACAAAAGCACTGTATGAAGGTCTAACAGAGAATAGAAAGCAGTTGAGACTGAATGCTGAGGCGAGAGCACAAGATAAAAAGGAAGTACAGGAGCTGTTGAGTGCCTTGGACAAAAAGCACAATGACCAAAATGGAGGAGTGATGTCAGATAAGCATACAAATCTAGAAAATCACATTAGTTCAATAGTCATTGAACAGATCAATGAAATTAATCAGGAAAAGTCAAGTCAAGTAAACAACGTAAATTCTTTGAGTCAATTAGCTGGCGAGGTAAGCAATAAGTTACAAATTGAATTGCTTAACAAGGGAATGAGTTTCAAAAGAGATTACAAAATGGACAGCAAAATGAAATATGAACATTTCCATGATTATTTCTCGTCAGAAATTAAAACCAATAAACTTTTACACATCATTGACGATAGCATTCTGGTTACTGTGGACGAGGAAACTCTTGCAAAATAGAAGCACAAAGTTAGAGAAATTCTGATCAATCATTTGGACAGAAGTTATCACCCTAAAATTGTTAAATTAACAGATCCAAAAGAAATATTGAAGAAACTGAAAGAATTGAAAATGGCTGAGTTTAATGTAACTTCACACTCGGTGAGACAAGACCTTTATAATATGAGATACAATCCTGCTAAAATGACAGCTGGCGAGTTTAACGATATGTTTGATGAAAAAATTGCAACTTATGAAAATGCTCCTGACACCATTCCTTTGAGTGCAGGCGAAAAGAAAGATGCATTCTACAATGCAGTAATAAAAGCTTTCCCCAATATTAAAATCATTGAAAAAGTAACAAGGAAAGCTATAGGTGTAAGCTTGACTTTTGGCGAGTTGAAAATTGCGATATTAGAAAAAGAAGCTACTATGAAAAGTGAGCTCTCAGATTCTGATATTAAAACTGCTAATCTTGCACAGCACAAGGGGCCAAGGTGTGTTGCTTGTCAGGCATATGGACGCAAGGAACCAGACTGTCCCAATAAACGGAAAGGATACTTGTGCTACAGGTGCAACCAGTTTGGGAATCACAAGGCAAGAGATTGCCCAAACGTACCCCACAATGACAATAAACCAAGTGGCTCAGGATACTCTAAACAGACTCCAAGGTACAATTCCAATTCAAAAATTAATTATCGAAATAATTATCAAGATCAATATAGAAGTAACAGTAGAGGAACGAAAAGACCAATGAGAGGTGAAACATATGGTCCAAGTAAAAGAGGAAGATTCAATAAGAGTCGGTTCTCTTATAAAAGAGGCGAGAACAAACACGGGTTTAAGTCATCTCACAAATCAAACAAGAAATCCAAATCCGACAAACCTACAGAGAAAAATAACTCCAGTCAAGGTAAGGAAAAAGAAAACTATGATCAGCCAAGTGCTGAAATATTTTATGCAGATAGTCAACAAACAAATGTGTTACGTCATGATTTCCCAGGAAAAATATTCAGTTATAATTTTAATAATCCAATAAATTCTGGAAAATTATGACAGTTATTTTCTCCTATTTTGAGCCTACCTTTCGGTAATAGCTCGGGATTGGAGTCGAGTGAATTGTTAGAATAATAGAGGATAACAATTCACAATAAATGAAGTCAATATTTCTTTAAATTATATTGAAATTTCAACGAAATCAAATTCTTTGAATTAAACAATTTACAAATGGATTAATTTTCACCAATTTTGAATATAAATTGTCATACAATATAAAATTTTTCCCTCGAACCAACGCGAAAATTTACATCAAGAATTGGAACTTTTTTTTATATTGAGTTCCCCGAACTAAAATTCTCAAATATTCCATAATTATTGATTTTTTTTCTTGAATTTTTGAAACCGTTTAACTTTTCACCATGTCATTTCCCGATTTAAATCAAATTTATTATTTATTTTGTTTTACTCATCCATTTTTTTGTAGTTTCTTGAAGTAATCCAATATTCGGTTGGTTAGATTTCACAATAATTTCACGTAAAAAAAATTTACAATTTTTCGGAACGGAAGTTCACACCTTAATTAGTTTCTCTTCAAGAGAGAAGTAAGAAGAAGGACCAAATTCTTCAACTTTTGAATGGTTTAGACGACGCGAGAAATGACCTGGAACGAAGAATGGCGGGAACTAACTTTGGGGGTGCATCGACGCTCTTTTATCACCTCGGATTGCGAGGATGTACTAATTAATGTATGTGTATGAATTTTGATGTGTTTGTCAAAGGAGGGGGCATGACATGATGTCGATGCACCAAGGTACACCTCGGCACGGATACCTGAACCTCCTGGTGATAACGCTCTTGGAGACAATTCAAAGTGTTGCCACCCAACGATCACATGATCGTTGCATGAACTTATTCTTTTTTTTATACCTTTTTTTCTTCATTAAATTCCTTCTTATATCTTCACGAGTAATATCGATTAAAAATGAGACTTGCTTTCAATTACCTCCAATGCGAAATGCTTTTTGAAACCACGTATTATTCATCATTTTCTAATTCCATTATTTTTCAATCATTATCAATTTTTCTTTCATTTCAATACAAATGCGATACGTCTCCAGACGTAACAAATGGAAATAAGTTTCTGACAGACTTTTTGGCAGATTCAGGCGCGACCGAGCATTTAACAAATTCTAGGATTCTATTTAAAACATTCAATGAATTAGATTGTGGAGTAATAAGGTGTGCTAATAAAAATGAGTCAGCGGACTTAAAAACGGAGGGAGCAGGAAAAATAGAAATTGAACTGGCGAGTGGTAAATTACTAGAAATTGACAAAGTTATTTTTGCAGAAGCTTTTAAAGCAAATCTACCATCATTAAGAAAATTTACCGAAATGGGATTAGCAATCTACTTAAATGACAAGAAAATTGATATATTTGATCCATTGTCGAATGAACTTTTCATCTCGGGAATTTATAGAAAACCTTACTGGATAATCGATTTAGAAATAGTAAAGTCAAACTCTATCAGTGAGAATTCTTTCAAGCAAATAAACAGGCGAATAGTAGCAAATGTTGCTGATGTCACTGGGGGTGAGAATGAGGAGAAAAGATATCTTACCAGAAGTGTCACAGCAAATTTACAGAATGAAACAAGTGAGAAAATAGACGAAATTGATAAGAGTAATGAGGAAGAAAATAAAATTGAAGAAAAGGCAAAGGAAGAAAAGCATAATGAAAAAGGGAGTGAAAACTTAATAAATGAGAAAATAATTACTAAAGAAAAGATTTCCTATGAACAATCAAATTTTGATTACACCATTTGGGACAGGAAATTGCAAGATGTTGATGAATTACCATGGGATGATTCGGTAGAAGTTTTTCCAAAACTTTCAATTGACAAAGATAGGTATTTGAAGAATCCGAATGTCATGTTGTGGCATTGTAGATTTGGAAATGCCTCAACAAGTTACCTCAAGGCATTACAAAAGAAATTCCCAGATAATAAAGAATTAAATGCAGTAAAATCTGATGATGAATTTATTAGAGATTGTGAAGTGTGGTTAACGTCTAAATTCAATAAATTAACATTCCCATCGGTGCGCAGGCGAGCAACAGCACCATTGCAAATAGTTCACTCAGATGTGATGACGCCTATTAATCCAATTTCTCATCCTAAGGGATACAGATTTATTTCTGTGTTCATCGATGACTCTCAAGATTCGCTATGGCTTATCCAATGAAGGCGAAAAGTGAAACAGGACGTTGTCTTGAGATGTTCATCAGAAGTGCGCGTAATTTACTGGGTTGTGACGCGAAAGTGTGTTATCTTAGATCAGATCAGGGAACAGAGGATTTAGGCGGGCATACAGTTGACGTTCTTAAGGGTTTAAGGGGCGGAATTACAATTAGCTTCCCCTGATACACCTGAACACAATGGTTTCGCTGAGAGATTTAATCAAACTATGAAGAAAAAAGTGAGATGTTATATGTTTGACTCGAGACTGCCAGAGGGCATGTGGGATCTGGGCTTAACTCCTGCAGTTTACGCTCACAATAGGACTCCAAATAAATCAAACAATATGATAACTCCTTTAGAAAGATTCGCGCCTGATCACAGCTTTGATATTAATCAAATCAAAAGATTCGGTAGTTTAAGTTATGTAAAAATTGCTAGAAATGCTGGCCCAAAGTTTGGACCTCGAGGTGTCGGTATGGTCTTGGTTGGATATACTCCAACAGGGTATCAACTCTTAAAGCCAGAGCTAGGAAAATATTATGAAAGTACACATGTTAAATTCAATGAAAAATTAGTGTATGGGGATAAATACAAGGGAAACGGTATCAAAGATTTCCCAGACTATGGAGAAATGGAGAATAAAGATGAATGGTTTGTTGAGTTCGAAAAGAATCGAGGTGAGGCCGAGGATTCTTCAAAACCGGAGGGAGAGATAAAACGCAAAAGAGGTAGACCAAGGAAAGAAGTTTCAGAACGAAACATTACCAAGAAAATGAAGACAGTTGATATAAAAGATAAAACAATAAATAATAATAGCTTTTCAGAGTTGGAAATTCATGAGAACGTGAAAGGAAATGTTTTCTTCACTAGTGTTATCAGTAATGTAGGCGAGATAGATTTAGCATAAAAGGAAGATGAAGTGTATTATGCACTTTTATCAAGCATAAATGAAGATCCCTCAAATTATCGAGAAGCTATAAATAGTAAAAATAAAGATTATTGGTTAAATGCGGTTGATGGAGAAGTAAACTCGTTAGAAAGAAATCAAGTATGGAAAATTTTCAAAAGACCTCTAAGTATGATAAATGGAAAAAGATTAAATGTCATTGATTCAAAATGGGTTTTCAAGTGTAAAAATGAGGCAAATTGAAAAATAAGATTCAAAGCGAGACTAGTAATCAGAGGTTTCAAGGATAAGAACCTTTATTAATTAAGGGAAACTTATGCTCCAGTAGCTCGTTTACCTTTAGTGAGAATAGTTATATCAATTATAAACAAATATAATCTAGAGGTGTATCAGCTAGATGTTAAAACTGCTTTCCTCAATGGTGTAATAGATGAAATTTATATGGAAATTCCAGAAGGAACTAATCATACTGACAAAGATAGGCAAGAAAATGTGTGCAAATTGGAGAAAGCACTTTATGGTCTTCGTATCAGTCCGAAACGATGGAATGTAAAATTCACTGAAGTAGCTTGAGTATGGGTCTGCAGAACTCGGATTTAGAACCTTGTTTATTCACTTGGCGAGATGAAGTTCTTGCTTCTGCTACTTTATGTAGATGATATGTTATTGGCGAGTAATAATAATGATAAATTGGCTGAAGTAAAGAGTAATTTATGTAGCGAATTTGAAATGACAGTCCTGGGAGAACCCAAGGAATTCCTGAGCATGATTATTAGGCGAGACCGAGAAAATCAGATTATTAAATTAAATCAGGAAAAATATATTCAAAAGATATTAAGTAGGTTTGGCTTTGATAAAGCACATCCACAACGTACACCAATGAATACTTCTCAAGTAGCTAATAATGAGAGAAAATTAAAAGAAACAGAATATGATAATGGGACTTTGAAAAGGACAGAAACAAAAGCAAACATTCCTTATAGAGAGGCCATAGATAGTCTTTTGTATTTGGCTGGTGCTACGAGACCAGACATTGCATATGCAGTCAATGTGATAAGCAGACATCAAGTAAATCCTAAAGAAAGTGATTAGGAAATGGTAAACAGAATTTTTCGGTATCTGAGAGGTACTACGGGCTTGGGTCTGAGCTATTCAGGTGAGACCAATGACATTCAGGGTTATTCTGATGTGAGTTTTTCTGATTGTAAAGATTCAATCGCAACTTGTGGATTTGTGATTAGACTGTTTGGTGATTCGATCATTTGGCGAACTCACAAACAAACTATAGTAGCACCTTCTACGTGTACAGCTGAGTATGTTGCAATGAGCGAGGCGAGTCGAGAAATGATGTCGTTGCACAACTCTTTGAAACTGATACTGGTTGATCCCCCTGTTCCAATGATCTTAAGGTGTGATAATAAATCTGCTATTGTGAGTGGAGAAACAAATGGAGGAATGAAATTGAGGCACATTGTAGAGAACAAATTACATTATGTAAAGGAATATGTTGAAAAGAATTATATGAAAATCATTTGGATTGGCTCAAGGGATCAGCTAGCTGATGTTTTCACCAAACCATTGACGTTTGAAGCACACAAGCGTTTGATGGACCTAATAATGAAAGTAAATATTTAAATTATTTTCTTTCGTTTGTCTAGGAAATAACTAATTTGGCAAGACCTTCTTGGAGAGATAAAATTGGCGAGACCTTTCTTGGAGAGTTAAAATTGGCGAGATGGAAAAACTAATGAGATTAAACTGACGAAATTACCTGGCGAGAATACTGAGGCGAGATAAAGTTACCAAATAAGAAACTTTGTGATAAACGAGAACAGATTATTAGGAGAGAAAAAGACTGGAGAGGAATCAAGGATACTGTCAATGGCGGTAGTGTTGAATGTGGCGCCCTACGCCAGTCTCCTTATTACCGACAGTGTGGGTGAATGTGTCGCCACGGCGCCGTTGCGCCTCTACGAGATATACTCGTACTATGCACCACTTGTGCCTCGACCGTTGTCGTGTTACGTTGCTGAATAAAACTTAATTACATTTACGATAATAAAACTGTGTTTAATCGTTATTTCAATCCTAAATAACCCTTCAATGATAATATGTCTACTCATTAATTTTAAACTCCAATTATTTTACTCAATTCTCCCTCATTCTCTTCACAATAATTCGAAAAATTGGAACAGAAAATCTGAAAATGCTGAAATCCTAGAAAACCCATTCTCATTAAATTCATTCCTCTGAGAATCCAAAAAATTACTTCCTAAATTGTTAAAAAAAACTATACTCCCAGAACTTATTTTGACGATTGTACAGTTAAAATATCCATTCTTGCAAAAATGGATATTTTAAGAATTCTACTAAAAAAAAACTTTATCAGTTACTTTACATTCAAATGAAATAAACAAACCCTTTAACAAAAAAAAAATCGTTCAGAAAATTTCATGAATAGCAAATAGAAGTTGTTTCTGATGGTCTGTCTGAATCAAAAGTTTCAAATATTATTATCCTTTTATTTTCATATTGCATCAATAACAAAATTGAGAGAAGTTTTCATTCAACAATGATATTGTCAATAGATTATGGAATGCGTAATTTTCGGAGTTTATGTTAAGAGACTTCTGTGTAGTTGAGAAAATCTATGGCAATCAGTCTTTTGACAATTTCCCTCTCCAGAATAACTCATTCTCAAAATGATTGAATATTTACCGAGACGAAGAAAATACAAAATACTCCAATACTTGCGAACTCATCAGCACCGTCAGTGTTAATTAAATACATATATTTTTCTAAATTATGCAATTTTTTTCCTAAACCCACTGTGCTCCGGATATTTACTTTGTTTTTGTTATTGTGGAGGTTTGAGTTGCCGTTGCCGGCATTAAAAATTCGTCCAAATTCCCCCACTCTACCCAATCACTGGAGCACGAACTAAAACCATCGAGTTACGAACCGCTCGTTCGTTTCGGTCCCAAGCCAAAAATAGTTCGACCCCAACGGAGGGATGGCGCCACGGTCGAATCTGACGGCTGGGCGAACTGCCTGTGCGGGTAACTCGGCAGTATACAGGGTGTATATTTATTGGTGGAGAACCTCCCGGCCACCAACGTAAAATGACCTCCTGAATACGGGAAAAATAATAAAAAAAATCTTTTTTTAGCCGTTTTCTAGATGAATTAATAATTAATTGGTAGGCCAATGAGAGGATCGGGTTATGGCGCGCGATAGCTTTCGAGGGAGTTCAAAAAATGAACATCAATGGTGCGTTAGAGTCACGCCAAAAGATGTGGAAGAACAGTTGAGTCGCTATTCTCCCGTCAATTTCGTATTGATGGCGGAAATGATGAGGTGAGCTGAGAGATGGCGCGCGTATGTAGTTTTCAAGTTGAATTGAATTTGTTTACAAAAGAGGTAAACGAAACCAGATAATTCGTACAGCCAGAAAATAGTTTAGTCAAATAAAATGTATGATTTATTCGGTCGAATAAATCATTAACCATTGATTTAAATCAACTTCATTGGTTCAAGTAAACCATTTTCCTGGAAGTACGGGAAATTCACGGAAATGAAATGAATTGAATTTTGAAAGAAAAAACATTATGATATTTTCGAATCAAGTAAAGGGACTTCTCTCATTACTGTTTCGTCTTCCAATGTATTTCACGAGCTCGAGAAATTATTATAATCTTTCCGTAAATGAAACATCAAACTTTCATCTTCGAGTTTCATAGATTTTTACAATTCTGAAGGTTCTTAACGATATGTCAAGGTCTTCGATGACGTAATCGAAGCGTCTCCATGTAACTTGGAGCTGCTTGGATTTTGGATGGAATCTATTCAGTTGTTCTGAAGTAAGAAAAAATAATAATTTATCTGTCAAACGATTGTGAGAAATGAGGAAAATTGAAAAAGAATATCTAAAGAATTGAGTGTCTTTCAAAATGACGGGCGTAAAAGACCGAAAGATGGTGAACACCCGTGAACAAATGGCCGTGAGTTAACAGTGTGATAATTTGAATGGAGTGGGAAAATGCGAAGAATCTTGATGGTAAGTATTGATTTTGTTTACTACAATAATTTTGAAAAAATCGGGACGCGAGATCGAATGTTACAGCATTTTTTATGCATAAGAACCTGTTGAAAAGCCTACAGGGAACCTTTCTGAGGGCTGCAACAGGAGNAACAAGTGGTGTGGGAATGCATGCAGGCATTGAACACACTGGGTAAAAACAACCAGGTCACCGTAACCTGGGTACCAGGTCACCATGGGATTCTGGGTAATGAAGAGGCAGATAAGCTGGCCAAGGAGGGTACAGAAAGGGTGCCCTCACACGGCCTGCTTGGCATGCCATTCGCAGTGAGAAAAACGCTTATTAAAGATCATTTCCAGCGGGATCATGGCAGACGTTGGGAGAAAGTTGCGACCTGCAGACAAGCGAAACTGCTTATGAGAGGGCAACTAAGAGTTAGGACCAGAAAGCTTCTGGAGCTGCACAGAGCGGATTGAGGGTAGCAGTAGGGCTCCTTACGGGTCATACAGCTCTCAGAGCTCATCTGTTCAAGATGAAACTTGCAGAACAACAAGACTGCAGAATGTGCGGAGGCGATAAGGTGGGCGTCATCCACATTTTATGTGAATGCCCCCAATTAGGACTCCGTCGCTATAACATCTGGGGCCAGGCTTTCCTGGAACCAGAGGACTTACAACAAGCGGCTGTCACCAGCCTTATTAGCCTAGTGAGAAACACAGGGCTGGGGCTGTGTGACTGACCGAAACTAAGGCGGAAGTTACAAAAGATCGTATGATTTAGGTGACTCTGGGCGCTTTAAGTGACCAGCCGCACTCTTTCTATTNAGCTTCAAGTGACCGGCCGCACATTTTCTATTCTATTCTATTCTATTATGCGTGAGACTCGCCGATTTTGAAAATGAGATGATTCATTCATTGGTTTCAATATTCATGATTTTTTTTTTAATCAACTCTTTGATCATTTCCGCATAATGGACACCCTGTAGTAAATTATCCTCAATTATCGTGTCGTTCTGGTGGAACCAAAGAAGGCGATACCTGTAATGACAGTCGCTGCGGTGTTTTAGGCGATAACAAGGGCGGCACTAGTCGCGGCAGTCACTGCGGTAATTGAGGCGATATCAAGGGCGGCAATTGTCACCGCAGTCATTGCGGTAATTAAGGCGATAACAAAGGCGGCACTTATCTAGGGATTCACTGCGGTAATTGAGGCGATAACAAGGGCGGCACTTGTCGCGGCAGTAACTGCGATAATTGAGGCGATAACGAGAGCGGCACTTGTAGCCGCAGTCATTGCGGTAATTAAGGAGATAACGAAGGCGGAACTTATCGCGGGATACACTGCCGTAATTGAGGCGATATCAAGAGCGGCACTTGTCGCAGCAGTCACTGCGGGAATTGAGGTGATATCGCGAGCAGCACTTGTCGCGACAGTCACTGCGGTAATTAAGGCGATAACAAGGGCGGCACTTGTCACCGCAGTCACTGCGATAATTGAGGTGATATCGAGAGCAGCACTTGTCGCGCCAGTCACTCCGGTAATTAAGGCAATGACAAGGGCGGCACTTGTCACCGCAGTGACTGCGGTAATTGAGGCGATATCGAGGGCAGCACTCGTCGCCGCAGTCACTGCGGTAATTAAGGGGATAACAAGGGCGGCACTTGTCGCGGCAGTCACTGGGGTAATTGAGGCGATATCAAGGGCGGCACTTGTCACCGCAGTCATTGCGGTAATTAAGGCGATAACAAAAGCGGCACTTATCGCGGGATTCACTGCGGTAATTGAGTGCGATAACAAGGGCGGCACTTGTCGCGGCAGTTACTGCGATAATTGAGACGATATCGAGGGCGACACTTGTCGCCGCAGTCATTGCGGTAATTAAGGCGATAACAAAGGCGGCATTTATCGCGGGATTCACTGCGGTAATTGAGGCGATATCAAGGGAGGCACTTGTCACCGCAGTCACTGCGGTAATTGAGGTGATATCGAGAGCGGCACTTGTCGCGACAGTCACTGCGATAATTGAGGCGATAACGAGAGCGGCACTTGTAGCCGCAGTCACTGCGGTAATTAAGGCGATAACAAAGGCGGCACTTGTCGCGGCAGTCACTGCGGTAATTGAGGCGATATCAAGGGCGGCATTTGTCGCAGCAGGCACTGCGGTAATTGAGGTGATATCGAGAGCAGCACGTGTCGCGACAGTCACTGCGGTAATTAAGGCGATAACCAGGGAGAACAAGGGCGGCACTTGTCGCGGCAGACACTGCGGTAATTACGGCAATAACAAAGGCGGCACTTGTCACCGCAGTCACTGCGGTAATCGAGGCGATATCAAGAGCGGCACTTGTCGCAGCAGTCACTGCGGTAATTGAGGTGATATCGAGAGCAGCACTTGTCGCGACAGTCACTGCGGTAATTAAGGCGATAACAAGGGCGGCACTTGTCGCCGCAGTCACTGCGATAATTGAGGCGATATCGAGAGCGGCACTTGTCGCCGCAGTCATTGCGGTAATTAAGGCGATAACATAGGCGGCACTTATCGCGGGATTCACTGCGGTAATTGAGGCGATATCAAGGGCGGCACTTGTCAGCGCAGTCACTGCGGCAATTGAGGTCATATCGAGAGCAGCACTTGTCGCGACAATCACTGCGGTAATTAAGGCAATAAACATGGAGAACAAGGGCGGCACATGTCGCAACAGTCACTGCGGAAATTAAGGCAATAACAAAGGCGGCACTTGTCACCGCAGTCACTGCTGTAATAGAGGCGATATCAAGAGCGGCACTTGTCGCAGCAGTCACTGCGGTAATTGAGGTGATATCGAGAGCAGCACTTGTCGCGACAGCCACTGCGGGAATTAAGGCGATAACAAGGGCGGCACTTGT